GATTTTGGTCTGGGAGCCTAACAGGCTTCATAATATAACATAGCATTTCCCCTAATGCGGACCTATGGGTATTAGAAAACAAAACAAAACTTTTCACCTAGCGATGAGGACTCCTGTAAAGGTGACACCTAAAATTATCTATGCTTGGGAGAAAGAAGGTCTCTGAATTCCCTTCTCTGTGGAAACAAAAAAAGGGTTTGGGGGCGAGGGAGGGGAGTATGACCTCCCTCTTTAATTCGGTGGGCTCCTCGGGCAGTGTGAGCTCTGGCCGATTCTCTTTGTTTCCCTGTGTCAGGAGGATGTTTCCTACCATCCGAGTGTCATTTTCGGGCGTGGATCCTGAGGCCAAGTACATAGTCCTGATGGACATCGTCCCTGTGGACAACAAGAGGTACCGCTACGCCTACCATCGGTCCTCCTGGCTGGTGGCTGGCAAGGCAGACCCACCGCTGCCAGCCAGGTTTGTGCCTCCAGATTTTCGGGCAGAACAAAATGCTTTTTAACTCTGAGAGCAGACAGTCTCTGGTTGGTTGCATTTCAAACAGAACTGGTTTCGCTGTGGTGAGCTCTGGTAGAAAACATTCCTAGCACGGATGCTCCAGGACTGACTCCACAAAATATCAAAATAGAAAGGCAGAGTTTGCAGAGACAGTGTTGTCTTTAATTTTATCTTTCTCATAATTCCTTTCCGTGCTTTCCTAATTTCAGTTGGAGTATTCATTAGAAATCCGGACCCATTTCTTTTGGCACCCATCATTTCTAGGTGGCTACTTAATACCAGACTCAATACACCTAATGAGGAAGTGGTTGCCCTAAAAGTCCGTTTTAGGAGAGTGCATTTGGGTTGCTTATAGTAAATATTTTTAAGTAATATTTTTAAGTATATATAAATATTTTTATATATTTAAGTAAATATTTTTAAGTATATATCTGCACACAGTAAAGGTCATTTTGGGGAAATGCAGTTGTTTTTGACCAATAAAGGACTCAGACATTTTAAGTAAGAAAACCTAACTCCTTTTTTTCCCCTTCTCCATAGTAACTTCAGTAGATGCATGTAATTCAACGTCAGGTTACTATTCTTTTACGTGAGACATTACTAGGTGTGTTAGGGATCATATATGTTTATTTTTGTGCTATTCATTGGTAATAATGTTTTTCAGAAAGGAGAACCCTGTTTAAAAAATCACATTCTGTTTTTTATTGTTGCTGCTTTACCCAAATTAGCCTTCTAGGGGAAAAAAAGAGCATGTATGAGCTTATGCAAAAAGTAGTAGCTTAAGTTATAGGAACCTAACTGCATACTTTAGTACAAACAGGATATTAGCAGACTTTACATTTAGGGTTCTAAAACCAAACCTTACTGTATTTAAGTTGTTTTCTGATTATCTAATTTTTGTAATTGGTTGGAAATTCATATCAGAACAAAGGATTTATTTACATATACAGATTTAGGAATTTTGAAGTTATGGCTGGTTCTGTGTATCTAGTCTGGAGTTTTAGTCAAGGCACAGAACCAACACAGACAATTTGTACATACTAGTTCAGATGCAATATTAAGCTTACTTAGTCTGATTTAATCATGTTACTGAACTTACAGTATGCTAAATACACTGGAGAAGAGATTTTATTAAAAGAAGCCTCTCAGAGTTTTCCATTCCCACAAGAGACTAGGAAGGACATCTTCCCAACCCCTTCCAAATCAGTATATTAAATAACAAATAAGCAGACTAAGAACTTTTTATTAAAAAATGTTATACCCCCTTTTTTTTAATTGATCAAGATTCACCAGTTTCTAGCAGTTTATTATTTGTATTTTTTACTCTTTATTATTTAGTAGCTGATTCACATTTCTCTCAGGCTTCCTTCCAAACTCTCCAAAATCTTTTTAAATGAGAAAGAGAGAGAGAAGGGGTATTTCAGCAGATTCCTAACTATTTTTGCAAGCAAATCCTTCCCCCTCCTCCCCCAAAGTCTCTCCTTTAAGAAGTTAATCACTCTTACTTAGCATATGTTTTCTTCCTATCAGAAGGTTTGGGGAACTGGTGCAGGCCAGCATGACTTTGGAAATATGACATGCCTTGTTTATGTTACTAATCTGCTCTGGATGGAGAAGGAAAGCACGTACCAATACACTATCTTAACTGAAGCATGTTTAAGCTATTGCTGGAATTTTAAGTCCTGGGGGACTTGAGAGAGGAGGGGCTTCCTGTATGTTTTTTCATTCATCCTACTAAAGTTTATTTATATTGATATTAGATAAAAATGTTTAGTGTGTTATAGGTTATGCTAGATAATTTAAACAAATGTTTTTTATTACTATTTAAAAATAATGCTGTATTTCATAGCTCCATAAGGGAAAGGTTTGGAATAGCGAAGTTGATCATTTTTGTATTGATGGTAGAAATTCCTTGTGGTTCTTGTTGCTTATTTCAGACGGAAGTTTACCGGTCAGTTGTTCCTAATCAAAACAAATAATATTTGACAATATCATTTTGATCTCAAAAACAGGCAAAATATTATCTAAAATAATGTTGTGCTTTCATATACGACATTTCGTTGTCTTTAAAGTAACTGATATTTAAATGAGTTAGACTTTATTAATGTGATTACACATGTGGAATTGATAAAGAGGGAACATTTCATGTGCTCCTAGGAGTTTAAATATTTTTGAAACTTTTTTTGATGGAGTAGGTAGGATGTGCTGGTCGGTAAAACCATTGCATGTGTAAAGTTCTAGTCTTGGAGGGGTGTACTTGAAAAGATATTATGAGTGTGTCATCAAGGAATACTTAAATTGAAAGACACTTTTGACCTCCAAAACAAACAGGCAGACAAACCCACTTCTAAAGCCTTTAAAGTTCTTCCATGGGTTTGGTAGGAATTTCTAGTGCCTTTTTGGTGCTCTGCTTCTGGTGGCTTTAGCGTGTCAGCATGGACACCTAATTCTTAGTCCTCTGTGTGACAAAGCATGGCACAGCCTTCTTGTTTTTTTTTCCATAAGTACTGCAGGGAAAAGTTTTGTGACTTTTCCCCCTGGCTTTCCCCCAAACCATAATATTTATGTTTAATTAAAATTATAAGGATCCTATAAAAATTGAGATATAAATAACCTGTTAAATGGATAAAAGGATTTGTCCTATCCTTTCTCTTTCACAAATTCTGTAATCTTCCCTGACTTCAGAAAAGCTTATGTTGAGTGGATACCAGGATTAGAATTTACAAAGAGTTGTACTTGGTGTTATCCTTGCTGGTAGAACAGATGGCCTGCATGTAACTGTGAATGAGGAATAGATTGCCTTGCATTTTGTAGCTGATCAATAAATGATAAATACTTGATAAATACATTTTTTTCCCATCAAAGTGTCCCCCGCATAAGCTCTTTATGAATAAATGTACTGAATAATTTGAGATTTACCCAGCTTATTTTCAGTGTCGTTTAGTGAGCACTTAACTAGATGAAAGTGGTAGTATTTAAGGTAGTAAAGGAGCAATGGACCGTGATCTGTGGACTATTAAAAGTTAGCCAGGCTGCTGTATTTAAATTACTTGTCGTGTTTTGATAAACTTCAAACTGAGTCATCTTCAAGTATAAATGAATGGATTCTCTAGAATTGTTTCCTCTTCAGTTCTTTATGCCTTCATTGCTTTTTAGCAGTACTTTTTAAAAAAATTTTTTTTAATTTTTTTATAAACATATAATGTATTATTAGCCCCAGGGCTACAGGTCTGTGAATCATCAGGCTTACACACTTCACAGCACTCACCGTATCACATACCCTCCCCAATGTCCATAACCCCACCACCCTCTCCCTCCCCACTGCCAACCTCAGTTTGTTTTGTGACATTCAGAGTCTCTTAGGGGTTTGACTCCCTTCTGATCCCATCTTGTTTCATTTATTCTTTTCCTGCCCCCCATCCCCCCATGTTGCATCTCTACTTCCTCATATTAGGGAGATCATATGATAGTAGTCTTTCTCCGATTGACTTATTTCTTTAGCAGTACTTATGTTACGCACCCATTATACAATTAGTATAAACTAGTCTCTTGTTTGAAAATACCTACAATGGTAATAAAATTTCATATTTTACTGAAGCAGACCAATAGTTGATTAGATAGATGGAAAAATATGCACCTTTTTAAAAATGGCTTGCTGAGCCGACAATAGGTATTACCTCTTTTAGATGGTCAGTACGTGAAGAAACATATTTAGATGTTTTAAAGTTATTTTGACACTGTTTGATTATTAAATTTGAGATTATCTGGGGAAAGTCAAATTCACCATTTATATGAGGTTTTTGTATTCCTTTAGAATCAAACTGTTTTATAACCCACAAAGAACAGATTTTTAAAAGATGACTCAATAACATTCTCTTACAATTTTCTTAGGCTTTATGTACACCCAGACTCTCCTTTTACTGGTGAGCAGCTACTCAAGCAGATGGTGTCTTTTGAAAAGGTGAAACTCACCAACAATGAACTGGACCAGCATGGCCATGTAAGTGCCACGCCTTGGATTATGTGGATTCCTTGGGATGGAATGGAGAAGTTTCTCAGAACGTCTCTGTCTCGTCTTCTTCCCCTCCCTCTCCCCATCCCATCTTCCATCTCTCAGTCATTCTGTGAGAACATTTCTGTGCTGTTCAGGGAATCCTGACTACTCTTCTTAAGAGGCCACTTACAGGGATGCTGTATACCGTTCCAGTACAAGAGGGTCTGGGACGTTTGGAACTGTGATTTTCCCAAGACTGCAGCTACTTCACTACCTGCACCAGCTACACAAAGGGAATATGCATTCTGGCGGCTATGATAGTTCTTGGGTTATACATCTGATTTCTGTCAGTGGTATGTTAGATAACACGGCATAAAGGAAATGGGGCTGACACCTCCTCTGGGGATTTCCCAGAGTGTGTTTTGTAGAGCCTGTTCATGTGAGACACAATAGAACAAAAGGGTTTCATGTCCAGATAAATTTGGGGATGTGCTATTGACTCACTATCTACGCTTATTGTAGAGTTTTATGAATATTAAAGCATAGAGAAGTCTTAAAAACAAAACAATTTCATTTTGTGTCAAAAATGTTCATCAAAATAAGGGAAAAGAGAAATTGGAATTCTGAGCCCATTTCATTAATTAATAGCACAAATAGCCATTGACACAGGCCTTTACACGTTTATTGCTTTGTAAGGAACGATGATGTTATCCTGTGTTATAAAAGAAAGATTTACATAAAAATTGTTTGATTTTTATGCTAAGAAAACTGTGGACTTACACACTTTTTTTTTTTAAGATTTTATTTATTTATTTGACAGACAGATCACAAATAGGCAGAGTAGCAGGCGGGGAGAGAGAGAGAGAGAGAGAGAGAGATAGAGGAGGAAGCAGGCTCCCTGCTAAGCAGAGAGCCCGATGTGGGGCTCGATCCCAGGACCCTGGGATCATGACCTGAGCCAAAGGCAGAGGCTTTAACCCACTGAGCCACCCAGGCGCCCCTACACACTTCTCTTTGATAAGGAGAGGACTCTTTCTTTATTTTTTTGCCTTGATTTGCCAGAAAACACATTGGCATTTCACTGGTTGCTTCCCTTGGCTTAGATATTTTGCATATCATTATTCTCTCTCTACCCCTTTATTACGACTCTTGTTACTTAAAAGTTTTTGTTTTTATTGGATCTGTGCAATTTAGAAGTTTCAGAACTTTTCTCAGAAAGGATGGTTATAAGTAGATATAAATTAGTTCTAGCCAATGGTTTCAAATGCTTTGACTGAAATTGGAACCAAATCAATCCCTTTAAGCATTGCTACCACCAATTTGCCCACAAGAGACCTCGTTTTTTGTGACCAAATCAGAGTAACCAGGTTAACTCATGACTCTGCTGGTGGCACTGTTGCAATGTTGCAAATAGGTTAATAGGTTTTTGTTATTTTATATATTGGAAACGATAATTGACTTTTATGTTCAAGAATGTTGGGATAATTGTCTTTTTCTGCTTTTTTAAAGAGACGTTTTCATTGATGGATTTTTTTTCAGGTTAAAAATGAAGTATCAGGGAGATGTTTTCTGCAGGCCGGATCACTCTTAATGTCATTCATATTAACATTTCTTGACTCCACTGAAATCTTTGCAGGGAGAAATGAAATTTTTCACAGTTGTGATATTTTCCATATGTGAAGCTTTTGTTTATTTATTTTTAATTTTATTATTTTTTAAAACATTGGGAAAGTCCTGGAATAGTTTTGTGGGTTTTTTTTTTGTTTGTTTGTTTGTTTTAAGATTTTATTTATTTCTTTGCGAGAGAGAGAGCAAAGAGCATAAGCAGAGGAGCAGCAGAGGGAGAGGGAGAAGCAGGCTCCCCACTGGCAGGGAGCCAGATATGAGGCTCGAACCCAGGACCCTGAGATCATGACCTGAGCCGAAGGCAGATGCTTAATGGACTGAACCACCCAGGTGCCCTTGTGTGAAGCTTTTAGAAGCACTATTTGGGTCTTTCCAGAAAGATTTGAGAATTCATTTTGAGATCAGCTGTCCAGAATTAATATGTTTTCCTTTTAGTATCAACTTCCTGGGTGGAAATACCACCAAGTTGTATTTTAGGACCCCTGAGTTCTCATCTGATTATGCCAAGATTAGACCTTGACGGATTATTTAGTCTTAGATGGTTGTTAATATCCATATTAGCTTTGAAATTTTATTATTTAATATAACCTTTTGTCACCATAAATAATGTGTTCTGAAAACTACAAGAAAAGATTTTTAGATCCTGTGTCATTCAGCCAAGTTCTTTAAATTAGTTCTGAAGAACCCCTTCTTATAGATGCACTTTTCATTTTATAACAGGAAAATTTTTTACTTCAGGGAATTTATATCTTCAGTGAAGCAAAGTTGACGTTTCTGTTAGTGTTCCTTAGCCCCATGAGGTCTTGAGCAGAGAGTCAAGGAGCCTTGGGGGCTGAGATTCGGCCTGAGGTTTGAGTCTCTCTCTGGCACTCTTTCCCAAAGGAAATTGACCTTGGGAGGGTGTAAATATGGGAGAGGGGATATTATTTAAAGCTTAGGGCTTTTTCCATTGAGACTCTGTGTGTGTGTGAAAATTCTTTCTAATTTATTAATACAACATATAATGAATACCCAGATTTTTTCTTGTATCAGTGTTAGAAGTTTACTTTTATCACTTTGAGTTTATTCCAGTTTTATGAGTAAGCATAAATATCTTGAACTCCCTGAAATAAACACATTATATAATGAGATGACTTTTTTTTTTTTTTTAAGTCTATTTCAACTCATTTGAAGTTCTCATTTGTTTTAGTTATTCCTAGTCAGGTTTGGGACCATAAAAGGATGGCGTGTGCAAAATTCAATGCCAGTTAATGCTTTGTAACTTTAAGTTGACTTATATCTCAGCACAGGGAGAGACTGATTCTATATTAATCATCCCACAGTGACTAGTATTTAACTTTGTTAAAGTCAGCTAGCAAAAACGCTCATCTACCACACCCATGTTAGCCAAGAAAACATGGGAGCCATTAGTTTTAACAACACTGCATGCCATTGACCCTGCTCCTGCCACAGTGTGTATCACTTGCCTCCCCTGAGAGCCAGGCCCTTGGGGGTGAAGGGCCTACAGTGTGAGCGCTAATATCCCAGGAAGATGGAACCCAGTTTTGCAGATGTAGGTAGCTGTCTGTGTGGCAGGAGGGAAGATACGGGAAAAACTTCTATATCTGAAAGTGAATTTTACAGCTCAGATTTCATAATGGCAAATCATTGTATTTTATTTAAAAGATACAGGAAAAATACTGCCTTGTTAACAAAAGTAGGATCATGATTTCTAAGTGTTGGGCAACTTTCACTAGTTATCACTGTCATTCATGTTTGGTTTATAACTGGGAACCAGGAATCAATGAAGCTGTCAGAAATAAGAATAAGGGGCGCGTGGGTGGCTCAGTGGGTTAAGCCTCTGCCTTTGGCTCAGGTCATGATCTCAGGGTCCTGGGATCGAGCCCCACATCGGGCTCTCTGCTTGGCAGAGAGCCTGCTTCCTCCTCTCTCTCTCTCTCTGCCTGCCTCTCTGCCTACTTGTGATCTCTCTCTCTGTCAAATAAATAAATAAAATATTAAAAAAAATAAGAATAACAATAATGTTCATGTTTGCTGAGCACTTCCTATTTGCTATGTAATTTATAAGGGCTACATCATCTAATCCTACAACTCTGTGAGGTATGTTTTTGCATTGGAGAAAACAAGGTTGAAGAGGTGAGATCAGCTGGCTCAAGATGAAGGAGCTAGAGAGTAACAGATTTAGCACTCTAACGGAGGTCTGTCTAATACCACACAGCCTTTCTTAATTCTTCATATCCCCCATCAATCATAAATAGCATCTGTCCTCCTAGAATGTACAAGTTCTTATTTTAGAAAATTTAGACCATACAGCTTTTGGTCTAACCAGACTAACAAAAAATATTTTAAAGACTTGATTAAAAAAAAAATCAACATCTTTCAGATGACTTTTCCCATCATTTTTTTAAAAAAAGGTGTTTTTGTTTTTTAATTTGACAGGGACAGAAAGAGAGCAAGGGCATGTGCCCCTGCATGCACAAGCAGGGGGAAGGGCAGAGGGCGAGGGAGAAGTGGACTCTCCGGCTGAGCAGGGAACCTGAAGATGTGGTGCTCATCCTAGGCACCCTTCCCCTCATCATTTTAGAAAGGACCCTTGAAACAACCTGTATTGTGTACAGTTGTTTTGATAAAATGTGATTTCACCACTGTGACTCCACAGCAACGATGGAAAGCGTTTGCCTTGTGAATGGAAAGGGTATATCCTAATCTTAAAACTTGAATTTGAAGCTGAGATCTTATGCTTCTTTCTTTGCCTCATTGCACTTTGGCCTTTGACCTTAAAATTCAGTACTTCCCATCTCTTCATCATAGATAATTTTGAACTCAATGCACAAGTACCAGCCACGGGTGCACATCATTAAGAAGAAAGACCACACAGCCTCGCTGCTCAATCTAAAGTCTGAAGAATTCAGAACATTCATCTTTCCAGAGACCGTTTTCACAGCAGTTACTGCCTACCAGAATCAGCTGGTGAGTTCAGCATTCACCATTCATTTCCTACGTAAGGGAAAAAATTAGGAGCTTCTTTCATTTTCTTGGAGAGAAGGGCTCTCCCGGTACTCAAAATCGAAGTTCACTTTGGTGAGTGCTATTGGATATTAGCCCCAGAACCTCTAAGCGCACTGAGTGACCATGACTCAAGGGTACTAAGGTCTGTATTATAGCATCTTTTCTAAAATCTTTATACTCTCGGTCAGTTGTACATTGCCCATTCTCCCACCCAGACCTGCTCCATCTGACTTCTCAAATTTTCTTCTTGGGAAAATCACCTGGTTCCTTTTTTTTGTTCTGGTAGAGGCCCATGATGTATATAACCATATACTCATTGCTTCACAAAATGTAGAGGTTCAGATTTTCTGCTAAATTAACACACGTATTCCAGGCAACTACCCGGACTACTGATACTTCAGAAATTTTGTGACGATTATTCAGCTGTAATTTAAGGTAATTCTAATGCAAGGATTTTAAGTGTCTCTTTAGATAACAAACTGTAGCATGTAAGCAGTGTATATTTAATTAACTTCAAGATATCTAACTTATAATATTGAGTTTTATAGTTTGTACTCTTTGATATATATCACATTTCAAGTTTATGCATTTCTTCATCCATAAGGTTTCGTCCAACTGAATAAATAACTGTCAAAGTTTTACTGAGGGCTGGGTGCTGGTAGAGAGATCCCCATATATTTTCTTCTTTCCCAGTCAGCATGAAGGCGGGGGTAACAGGAATATTCTGTAGTGCGGAAGCTGAAGCTGAAGCTAAGAGAGGATAGTAACTTTTCATGGCCAGGAAGGACCAGAAATAGAATTCCTTTGATATACTTCAGTAAAAGGAACTCATTCACTTTACTTGACAAACTTGGTTGGTTGTGGCCTCTCTAGGTCTTTGCAGCTTGCTTTTATTTGGTTAGTTTTCAGGTAGCCAGGGCTGTGGCTCTCCTCTTGTTTCGACATTGTTATATATTAGGTTCTGAGCCAGTAATTATAAGGTGATGCCTGATAGAGGGCTCAGAGGCCAGGGTGGGATAGGTCAGCCAGAGGAGATACGATGTTGTGTCTCTCAACAAAAGTAAGAAGGTGAAGCTGAGAGCCCAGGTAACCCTACACAAATGAGGAAATGGGAGCCCAGGGGAGGGAAATGAGCAAAAGGCAGGAGTGGATGTGTATCTGTAAAGCATAAGCACCTATAATTTCTGTCTGACTTGGAGTAGATTTTAGTTCACCACTGTGGCTGCCATTTTCCTTACCTGTTAAATGGAGCTAAGAACTGCCTAGAACATCTGGGGAATTCCTGTGAGGATCAAATGTGGTGCTGTGTGTAAACATGCCTTTGGAAACTGTCAGGAACCCTAAAAATAAGGCATATGGCAACTATCGGACTGTTTCTAGTATGTTCAAAGAGGCTCTGTCACTTTTTCTGATTTTAAACTGTTAGTGGCACATTTTTTTAATGAGGTAGATGAAGGTACAAATGTTATCATACTAATCATCTTAAAGTAGAAGCAAAGTATTAAAACTTTTCGGTTAACTCTAAAGCAACAACGCAAGAGTAGAAACTTCCAGAGAATGCCCAAGCTAGAAAGCTGGCTGTAGATTGAAGCCTACCAGGGTGTAAAACCCTAATACTGTTTCACTGGGAATCTGAAACTTTAACCCAGTTTTTATCTGAGGACACATGTAACACATATATAGATTCAGAGAACATTCCTGAAACATTCATTTTACACGAATTTGAATTTATAGCTTTTATACTATAAGACTTTTATAGCTTTTATACTATAAGATGGTAGATTTGTACTTCTACAAGAAGTCTGTTGATGTTTGAGACTAAAACAGAAACTTGTCATGTAAAAATTTCATTGCTTTTATCAGAATTCTCTGTAAAGAAAACCAAAGCAAGAATAGATAAATTGGTTTTTTTTAAGTGAAAATTACCAACTGAAGAAAATTGAAGAAAAGTTTCTAATAATAACACCTTAGATTTAGTTTAATAGGTGAAGGAGCAATCCTGAATAAATGTTGGCAGGACCTCTCAGCTCATGGTACCCTGGAATCAGAGGTTTTATCTACATAATTGTAATCATAGCTAATATTTGGGTACTTACTAGGTGCTAGGGACCATTTAAAGCGCATTGTCTTACTTAATCTTCACAAGGATATTATAAAATAGGAACAAATAGCCTTTGTATGTTGCATTTATAGCTGGGAAAATTGAGACGTGGGGTTAAATTTCCCATCCAAGGTCACCTTGCTGGACCTCGCCTGCCCTATTTCTCTGTACTTTTCTCCTTCCCTGAATCATTTGAAACTAAATAGCATACATCATGGTACTTTACCTGTCAGTACTTCTATAAGTATATACTGACAATAAGAATATTGTTTTTGTAAGCACTATGTCTTTTTCACAGCTAAGAAAATTAATAAGAATTATTCCTTAGTGTCTTCTAAAATTCAGTTCATACTAAAATTTCCAGGAGGACCAACAAATGTTTTTTATGACCTTTCATTTACCCCCTTTGAACTAGGATCCAACTAAGGCAGAGAGGCAGGCAGAGAGAGAGAGGAAGGGAAGCAGGCCTCCTGCTGAGCAGAGAGCCCGATGTGGGGCTCGATCCCAGGACCCTGGGATCATGACCTGAGCCGAAAGCAGGGGCTTTAATCCACTGAGCCACCCAGGCCCCTGTCACCTTCATATCTCTTAAACTTTGGACAGGACTGTTATTTTTATATCTATTGAAAGTAAAATCAGTTTCCAACAGAATTTGTGAAAAAGCTTCTCATGTACTGTGGCTGGTAGTTTTATTTATAAGAAATGAAAATGGGGCATATTTTGCTTTTTTTTTTTTTTTCGAGGAAATGATTGCATTTCTTTACATTATTAGATGAAACATAAATACATTACACTTTCAACAAACTATTTTATAATTTCAGATTTAAAGGTCATACCTTGTTTTTGAGTAGGCCGACCATTGCTGTGCAGTTGAAGTGTAGGTCAGGTTTCATTTTTAAATGCCTTTGGACAGATCTTTTCCTGATAATTGGAGAAATGGTCTCTGAGGGCCAATTCCACCTTGTGGCTGGATTCAGAGCCCAGTGATCCCACATGGCATGGAATAATCACCCCTGGGAAATGTCCCCTTCTCCTCTCGCAGCTGGCAGTGTCAAAAATTTGTTCTCTAGTTTGGCATACGGTTATTATCTATAGATAAAGGAGATGTTGGGAGTGAATTTTCTGGCAAAGAAATGCATTATGTCCTATATTATTGAGATAACAGATGAAAAAATAGCGGTGTGTTTTAGCCTGAATTAGTCTGTGATTTGCCTGTCCTCAGCACACACAGAACTGTGGGATTTCATAAGCACGCAAAGCTGCCCTGTAACACCTTTTCCTCACCAAATGAAAAATAATGCTGCTTTTAAATTTGGCTTTTGAGTTGCAAACTGTACCTGAGTGTTTCATATGGGTTTTTTTTTTTTTTTTAAACATATCATATTTGGTTAGTTGGCCTTTTAGGGATCCTTACACAGTATCACCATTGACATGGATCATGTTGTTCAGCAACGTCACACATAGTGACAGGGATTCTGTATTGGGGACCAGATGGAATGATGTCCAGCTCAGATCACTGTATGTAACTTGGGTGCCTTCTCATCAGTTCACAGATGTATAACCTTTTCAGTTATCCCAAATGGCATAAAGGGATATAAAACTCTATCTCCAGAAATAAATTTCTTTCTATGTTACTGCTGTTTTTATTGACATATCCATGGAATCAAATCTATGCCTGACCTCTTAAAAATGCATGATTACCTAGAATGTTGAAATCCTATTTAAAAATTATTTTACTTAAAAATTAGAAACAAAATGAAGTGCTATTTCTGTAAACTCAAGAAGAGTTTTGCTAGTCCATAACTGGTAAAAAGGTGAAATCCTATTTCTGATTGCTTGTCCTTGGAGCAAACTTCAACGAACATTTCTGGGGTGCTTACTGTTGACACTCCAGTAAACTCAGAGACTAGTAATAGCACAGTGAGCACGGTGAGTACAATAAGAAGTTTAACTCACAGTCTTTGTACTGCTGATCAGTACTCCATAAAACCTGTTTGAAATTGTAGTGTTACTTGAGGGGCCCCCCTATAATTTTATTAATTAGACATCCATTCAGCTTTTTTTCCTTTAACTTCCAAAAGCAATACTTTAACCTGGAATTAGATAAAATGGTCTATAGAGAAAGGCTTAAGTTCCATTTCTTTTTTTTAAGATTTTTTATTTATTTATTTGACAGAGATTACAAGAATGCAGAGAGAGAGAGAGAGAGAGCAGGCTCCCCATTGAGCAGAAAGCCCCATGTGGGGCTCAATCCCAGGACCCTGAGATTATGACCTGAGCAGAAGGCAGAGGCTTAACCCACTAAGCCACCCATGCACCCCTTAAACTCCATTTCTAATTAACATACTTAAGTCGCATCATTGCTGTAACTAATTGGTGAATCCAGGTGTATGAGAGTAGCTAATTCTGTTCTCGAAACTTTCCTATAGTTTGAACTTATAACAAAATGTGGGGAAAAAAAAAAGAAAAAAGTTACCAGTGATCTGCCTGGGCATTATGAAAGGGAGACTAGTAAGATATTGGAAATAGAACATTCTAATAGTGAAAGAAAATTCCAAGGAAATCTGAAAACTGTTGAATGTAATTGACTTCTTCAGGGTTATGGGAGTAATACTAGATATGGTGTTGTCCTCCTTGAACGACACACTCATGCTGAGAGTATTGATTCTCTATGACAGTCATCCCATTCCGAGCCAATAGCCTTTCCCTTTTGGAAATAATGGAGAAAAGCAAATACAATTTTCAAAATCCTTCACAGGGACCAAGCAGATCAAAAGCCTTTTAATCATCACAACAGATAGGTCGTACTTACTATTCTTTTAGTTTGGAAAGACTCAAAGCGAGATACGGTCCGCATCTTAGAGGAACGGCTGTCCAAGGACTTTTTCCATCAGATATCTGCCACTGTCTCCATGAAATTTTATCTATTCCCTTTTAAATTTTATTAATTAGCTTATAGGGATTGAGCTTGAAAGAAGGCTTGACTTCATTGTTCTTCCTCACAGTTGCAGTTGGAAATTTTCATCTGGGTTTGGTTGACCCTTAAGTCACTAACCCCGCGGCGGATGTGAATCGGCCCGTGGCGGCCCGTGGCGGCCCGGGAATCGGCTTCAGTTCTGCTTAGCTATGTATCCCTCCGCTTGTGCCTGGCCCGTTGAAGCACCATTAGGGCAGGGCACGCATGCTCTTTATCTCGGCCCGTCCAACACTTAGCATAGTGCACGATAAGTCGTCCGTTCGCATTAAATATTTGTCAATGAATTACTTTGAAAGCATTTTCATGAACTAGAAAGCATTTGAGAAATAGAAGGCATTTTTTAACTTGTAATTATTCAGTAGAAAGAGACGCAGTGCCTGAGAATTTAAAAATCTTGTTGGTGTTTTATAATCTTAGAGCATACGAATTGCTTGTGCTTTCTGAAGATGCTTCCAGTTTATTTGAAACAAATAAAATTTTCTCCTGCATCCTGAAAGTGGACCTGCAAAACTAAATCATAGTCTGAAGGATGACTGAAACAGACTCCAGCCCTGAGAAAATCCATGGCTTTGACGTGGTGGCAGCCACTCTGCATGGCCACACCTTACAGTTAGAACCTCAGAGGTTCCTATGTCTTTCTTTATATGCAAATTTAAAATACCTGTTGTTATTCACGAAGAAGTTTTCCTCCTTCCTTCCTTGTTTACCATGTCCATTAACTAAGCTGAAAAGGAAATCAGTAATTTTTTTTTTTTTTTTTTTTTTGGCTGCACTAGAGTGAACAGGTGAACAATGAGCACTTGTGAAATACTGGCAAGCCCTCTTAAAAATTAATACTATCAAATAATCTTATAACTGGTCAATGTTCATGACAGAAAAAGGAGGGTCTCTGGATAGGAGAGTGTGGGAAGTTCTATTTTAAGTGAGGTAAATAGCTTCTTTGCAGCATGTGCATTGGTTAGCTCATGTTCAGAAAATTCGAAAAGGGAAATAATGCCTTTCTTTTGTAATGAAAAAGGCAGTTCTTTAGGTGTTAATGATTTAAAATGCATAGCTCATACACTCTGATCAGAGAAGAAGTTGCGTTTTGGTGAGAGAGTATTTCAAGCTATCTATTTTGATTGTGTTTAGTGTTTGTGAGGAGGACATGCTTCAACGTATAACCTTTTCTCCAGGTTAAGATTATTTTGTGTATCTCTCTCTAAAGGTTAGCGTGGGTTCTTGTTCTGATGCCGGTGAGCTGGGACTGTCTTTAAGAGTGTTTGAAGTTCTAGTTCAGATAGGGACAAGCTGTGTCTTGGTCCTCATGGGTTCTTTTTGGCTCTAATCAGGAATTTTATAAGTCAAGTGTCTTTTAATCAGTGCTTTTTTTTTTTTTTTTTTTTTTTTTTGCTTCACAACCTAATGTCTGTTTCTTTGGAGGCACTGTGCATATGATTTAGTGGATCTTTTTACATTAATATTAATGCTGTGGGAATTATGACTAGCTCCTCTTAGATACTTAATACTTCAGACTATGATTCTTATTAGGGAATATTTTCTTTTATACAAGCACAGACTCTATAAATAGCATTGTATGGGAGGAAAACAAAAGACTGGTTGATTCTAATTTAGTCAGATGGAAAGGAGAGCAGGGATAAATTTATATTCTGAAAGGTTTATATCATGTATTTGTCATGTATTTCAATAGAGTATTGAACATGAAACTGTTATTGGCCATTTGATCTTTTTCTCCATTATGTTATCTATATGTGCCCATAGGATTCACAAATGATGCTGCCAAGTCAGCAGGAGGCAACATTTTTGTTTGTTTCCCATTACCCACCAATGCTGGCCTTCTTGGGCTCTCCCATTCCCCAGGCAAGCCCTAGCCTTTCACAGTTCTCTTAAATTCTTCACTGGGCCATTCTGGAAAGGCCCCCTCCCTAACTCTCTCTATCCATTGACCTTCAGGCTATTTTCTAGGAGACCAGGCAGTCCTCAAATCCCTCATCTCTGAGGCCCTCCCTGACCAGTTGTCCCACCTGGCTGTGAGTCATCCCTCCCGTGAATTTCTCTATCACTTTCCACCCTTCTCAAGATCCTAAGAAACATTAAGTATTCTTGGGGTGGCCTGGGAAATGAACAAACTCTTTATTTCTGATTTCACTTCCTTGACCTCGGAAATGATATTGTTCTGTTACCCATTCATTCCTTTGCAGATAACCAAGCTGAAAATAGATAGCAACCCTTTTGCCAAAGGCTTCCGGGACTCCTCCAGGCTCACTGACATTGAGAGGTAATGAGAATTTTCTATCTACTTTTCTGTCCAGATAAGATAAGGAGAAGAGTGGGTTTGTAAGAACACAGTCCTTTCAACGCCAAAGTGCCATAACCTTACTGTAGATAGTCTCCGATCCCACACCCCACCTTCCCTTCCACCTAGAAGCCCTGTAGACATGTGGCTGCTTAAACTGGGACAGCTGCCGCACCTGCATCTGTGTTTGTGAGGAGGTGGTTTCTTTGGTCAGGACATTGACTCAACTGTAAAAAATAGGATTTCTTCCTTATCAAAGACTCAGTCCTTTTGATGATGCTAAGCTTCCTCTCTTAGGTGGTAATCTGCAGAGACATGGAATCCTGATAGCCTTTGTTTTCTGAAGTGGACATATTTGCTAGCATGAAGAATATGAGTTGTTTGGAACTTTGAAGCAAGGAGATGTCATTTAATTCAAGGCCCATATTTTAAACGTGGCATAGACTGCTTATATTTAATAGGAGAGACATCAGGTCTCAGAACCTTTAAGAAGACAAACGAGAATCATGTGCCTGTAACTTACTCAACTTTTAACTTAGTTAAAATGGTTTATGCAGTGTGAGATCCTCTATGTGGTGAGTAATGTCTATGTTGAGATCCGCAGCTTGCCCATAGGAATGCCAAAAAATAATGCATTTTTTTTAGGGAGAAGATTTTTCAACCTAACTGATTATTTGTATCCCTTACCTGTACTATGGAACTTTCTGTACTTCTTTTTTGTGTGAGAATATTTAAGTTCTACTCTCTTGGCAACTTCAATTATACAATACAGTGTTATCAACTCTAGTCACTATGTTATACATTAGATCTTTAGACCTTATTCATCTTCTCTACATCTTTTGTGTGGCCCGGAGTCTACATTTGACAGGTGGCATACCCTAGCCACCAGGCCTCTGGTGTATTTTACCTCCAAATCTTTGTGTGATTTCCTCCCCACCAGCTGCTACACATGTCTTTCACACTCTTTGTTACCTGACACATGGTCACGTCTCCTGATTTTGCCACTTCTCTCCAACTTGTCCTAGAAATGCAAATGAAGGGGTCATTGCACATTTTAGCAATAGCTGTCTGATCCTTCCCTCTGCCCTCCCAAGTAGCAGGTATCACGGGGTGGTTTTGATTTGGAGGAAAAGATATAGAGGCTCAGTAGGGAGGCAGAGAAGCCAGCAGGAGAGGCTGAGAGTGGAGCAGGTGCTGTGGGATTTAAGTAGAAGGGAGAAATTAAGTCATTGGAGAACTTGACAAATGGTTGAGGGTGCTGAGATCAGGGAAGGAAACTTGAGTTTGTGGTTGAAAGTCGATTGCAGACTGCACTGAGACACCAAATGGATAGCTCCCCAGTGAGGTGGGACATAGGCAAGCAGATAGGCCTTGAGACCCAAGTCACAGAGAATGTGGCATTAGCAGTGTGGGTGACAAATAAGTCCATTGATAAAGGCTGCTGTCATTTAGGCATGATCTTTTTCATCTCTTATTTCTGGAGAACCAGAAGCAATGAACCTCTCCATTTCAGTCAGGTAGCAGGTGAGAATGAAGACAGTGGCTCAGTGCGACAGTAGTGGTGTGTTTTTACCTTCTGTCTCAGATCAGGGGGTGAGCATGATCTACTGGGAGACAAACTCATGGGTTAGGGTCCCAGCTCTGCCTTCTACTGGCTGAGTGATCCTGGAGAAGTCTCCTAGCCTTTGTCCCCTCACCTAGAAGATGGGAAAAATAACCCCGCTCATTCAAAAGTTTATTATGAGAATCAAGTAAGGTGGCATTTATGAAACACTTTATAAATCTAAAAATGTGAAATAATTATAAATTTTTGCCCCATTTAAGTGTAAGTCTAATAGTCTTAATAAACTACTCCTGGAGTAAAAATAGCCCCTTATTTGCACGTGTGCTCATGAGATACGAGTCCCCAGACTGCCCTTTAGAACAGCAGATTTGATAATGCATGCAGGCACATTTTCCACTGATCGAATAAACATCCTGCTGTGAGGAGCACTCACATGTCTGTGAAGCTGAGTAGCTTTCAATGGTCTGAGGGCGAAGAGGGCATCTTCTGTGACCAGCTGAAAGTTTGCAGGATGACCTAACTAGTGTGAAATTGGCCAAGGTTTTGGATTTCATTTCCAGGTATTTAAGTCTGAATTTTCCCTAAACAGCCTTTGGGGATGGGTCAAATCAGATCAATTGATCTTTAGAGACCTAAAGAAATTAAATTAGTCTGGAGTCAGTTACTGCACTAAACCATCTAGTAATTGAATTGCTCCTTGTAACTGATTGAAAACAGCCCTATCTGTAACAATATAGGGGACTTTTCCTATAAGAGATCTGAGACAAAAACACATCTTTTTATGACATGATGACAGAAATTGCACTTTTCTAACCTAATTGAATATGATGTTATAAATATGTGACCTTAATGATTTCAAGTTTCCTGTTCCAGATTTACAACTTATGTGTGGGACACCCAAAGAAAAATGTTGTTGGGACTGGATCTGTTTGCCTTATACCTCCAAACTCATTGTATTATTTCCTTTACAATTGCACAAGCATTTGGGATTCTGTATAAGGCATTACAGTTTCCCTGCTCTCATTTTACTAGGTCCTGTGCAGATACTTGAATGTCTCGAATGCTCCATGTGTAGCCTTATTCTCCAGTGACAGCATCTCCTTCATTCATTAGATGCTTTGCACATATACCTATAATGGACAGCTTAGAAGCAAACCAAAAGCCCAAAGGGATTTCTTAATATAACCGAATTTATAGTTATTTTGTTTAGGAAAAGAATTATCTGCTGGTATGTCAGAGAATAATAAACAGACTGTCACTTAGTGTTTTCTTTTTTTGGGGGGGTGCTTTGTACAGTAAGGGAAAGCATGGTGTTACTTTTGAGGAAAAATAACTAGGAGCATTTTTCAGTGATTTCTTCAAAATTTTCTTTTGATAGTTTTTTTTTTTTTTTTCCTCCAGAGAGAGTTCATGCTCATTGTAGAAAAATGCTAACAAATAAGAAGAAGAGCTTAAATAGGTAACAAATCCCATTCACTCAGAGATATCCACCGGCAAAGATATTCTTCTAGGTACTTTCCTATGACATGTATGAATATTTACTTCCTTTAACGTTTACATACATACTATTTTTATTTTTTAAGATTTTATTTATTTATTAGAGAGAGAGATCACAAGTAGGCAGAGAGGCAGGCAGAGAGATGGGGGTGGGGGGAAGTAGGCCCCCTCCTGAGCAGAGAGCCCAATGTGGGGCTCGATCCCAGGACCCTCGGATCACGACCAGAGGCGAAGGCAGAGGCTTGAACTGACTGAGCTACCCAGGCGCCCTGCATACATACTATTTTTAATCATTTCTGCTTAATATCAGTAGATATGTCTGTAGTATACTTTTTAATGGCTGCCTAATTTTCTACTGTATATGATCATTTATTTGACCAATCCTCTATCTGAGTTATTTAGGTTTCCCACTTTTCATTATTACAGACAGAGCTAGGAGGAAAATATATACCTTTCCTATATTCTTTATTATTACCATAGGATAAATACTAACAAATAAAAATGCTGGGTCTAGGTATATACTTTTTTTTATTTTTATTTTTATTTTATTTTTATTTTTTATTTTTTATTTTTTTGTGCCAAATGGTGGTTTTATTAAAGCATGAGGACAGGACCCATGGGCAGAAAGGGATATACTTTTTTTTTTTAAAGATTTATTTATTTACTTGACAGACATCACAAGTAGGCAGAGAGGCAGGCAGAGAGAGAGAGGAGGAAGCAGGAGGCTCCCTGTTGAGCAGAGAGCCTGATGCAGGGCTCAATCCCAGGACCCTGAGATCATGACCTGAGCTGAAGGCAGAGGCTTTAACCCACTGAGCCACCCAGGCACCCCAGGGATATACTTTTAAAAATCATAATCTTTTTATTTGTTAAAACTTTGAGAAAGACCTAAATATTCACTAATAGAAAAACGGTTTAATAAATGTGTACGGCCATGCAGTGGAATTTAAAAAAATCATGGTAACATGCAACATAAAGTTTACCCTTTTAATCATTTTTTAAAAAAGATTTTATTTATTTATTTGACAGAGATCACAAGTAAGCAGAGAGGCAGGCGGGCGGAGGGGGGGAAGCAGGCTCCCTGCTGAGCAGAGAGCCCAATGGGGGCTACACCCCAGGACCCTGAGATCATGACCTGAGCTGAAGGCAGAGGCTTAACCCACTGAGCCACCCAGACACCCCCATTTTAATCATTTTTAAGTAAACAATTCAGTATATTCAAATGTTGTGCAGCCATCCCCATATTATATTTTACATTTACATTTACAGTGTTTCCATCATCCTAAATAGAAAATCTGTACTCATTATTTTAAGTAATAACTCTCCATTCCTCCTCCCCCAGTCCCTGGTAGTATCTGTTCTATTTTCTTTCTTTATGATTTTGCCTAGTTTAGATACTTTATATAATGGGAAAGATAATACACACTTTTAAGGCTTTTCATACAAAATGCCAGGTTTCCTTCAAGAATGATTGTCCATGGCATTGTCAAGAGTGCCCATTTCTTGTACCCTTGTCAAACATAATTTTTCATCTTTGCCAATTTGATAGGAAATTTGTACTTCCTTTTGTAAATTGGCCTGTTTATGTCATTAGCTTTTTTTTTTCTTTTTGATTGTTTATCTTTTATTGATCTTTGTAAACTACTTACATGAGTATTTTTATTGCTTATATATTGGAACCATTTTATCAGTTTGAAATTGGCTTTCTATGTTTTTGATAAATAGAATATTTTATCACAAAAATATTATTAAAAAATATACAGGGACATGTCTGTTTTTTATAAGTGGTTCCAATACCATGTATTAACTAACATATTCCTTTCGTACTTATTTATAATTCCCTCTATCATATACTAAATTTTTGCCTGTAGTAGTTTTTGTAGTCTCTTTATTGATCTTCCAATATTGTTTTTATTTTTGT